ACGGAAGTGATATGATGACAACGAGTTGTCGTACGAGCAACGCACGTAGTAGCCCACACTGCATACCTTGTGCCGCTGATATGTGTACGACGCATCTTCAATGTCGGGCTCCGTCTTCTGTAGAACGCACTCCAGGTCGGCGTAAACGACGAATGGAATGCGCTCTTTATTGTAGTGGTTGTTGAATTCGAGCCATTTGTCGTTCTTGCTCGGCAGTCTGATGGCACAATTATTAATTTTTCTGCAGTCCATTGCGTGTAACTCCAATTTTTTGCTCGTACTAAAGTAGTGCAAGCATCTGGAAAAAAACGCATATAAATTATTATTATCATATTTATTAATATGAAGGACAATTATAATTTTTTTTTATGTATACTCTTACCGATCGCAGAAAAATTTCTTGTGCTCCTTTTTCGAGAGTTGCGAGCTCACGAGACGGGACAAGTTCTTGATCCATGCGAAATGGCCCACATTGTCGTCGCGTGGATCTTGCAGGTACAGGAGATTGATATGCTTCTCCTTCTTATCGCTGGTGAGCCGTAGAGGAAGGATCTATTTGTTTTCGATGCCGTACACGTTGATCGATACCGCGTTCAATTGTTCGAATTTGTTAATGTCTTTCAATATCATTGGAAACTCGATGCCCGCAAGATTTAACACTGCAGTGTAATGTGGATATGATGATTCCCGATACACATGTTCTTCAGCCGGATGTAGAGCGGCGACCACCGACCACGCGAAGCATGCATTGTCCATCGTACGCACACTGATCACCGCTCGTTTCATCGCTATTTCCCGCGGCACTTCGACATAACATCCTGCGCACATGGGATTTAGTTTATTCACGTTGGTAGTCAAATTGAGGATTCGCGACAGCGCCCACCCACTGTCGCGTTCCTGGAACTCTTCGAGCGATGTCAACGTAGGCTCGATGACGTGCCGCTCGTACCACTCGCGTATATCGATGCATCGATATATTTCAATGTTCTTAGTGTTTATACTTTTAATGGCACGTTTGTCATTCGTTGAAAATTCACCGTTGAACGCGGTATTCATTTTTGCACTACTGTGTCTTTCTACAGCGTCTCGAACTTGCCCGAGCACTATTTCTCTCGCGTCTTCTAAAAACCGCCGCGGCTCTATGTAATTAGAATTTAATACAGCGCCCGTCAATATACGGCTTTCAAACGCGGCATCAATCTCTCGCCAGACGAGAGATCTTTCGTTGCCACTCGC